TAGCTTAGGATAGGAAAGAGTGGAGGTGCGTGTTCAACCAGTCTTAGGACTGACGAACTTATAATGATGATTAATGTTTCGTATAAAGTTTAAGTCTATAATTTTGTTGAACAGATATTGGGGAAAAATTGACCATAGCAGTTTGAAACAATTTTAAACGCATGCACTAAAGTCTTTTTTAACGACTAATATTCAAACGTTAATTGATAAACAATACAGTGATAAGTATATTTCTTGACTGGAGTGCACAATTTATTTATATTCTTTTGTATCAAAATTAGGTGTAACGACAGGGAGAGCAATCATTATTAATTTAGTGATGTAGCTGTTTTTTGTAAAGTTTGACTAAATTGTACGTTTCTTGTTTAATTATAAGCATATGGTGAACGTGTTTAACAAAAAGAGACAAGCGGTTACACCCCTGTATTACCACCTAATAGTAGATAAAATAAGACTAAAAATACATTAAATGAAATATAAATTTCAAACAATATGCATTCAATTAATCTAACTTACCTTTCGTATAAAAAGGACTCTCTATGCATCTAAGTATTACAAATCGTCACCCACAAATACACACGCGCACGCACCTTTTTCAAGTGATACTAAATATGAAAAAATTACCAATACAAACCAATTAAAAATATAGACACAAACACTCGCGAAATTATTACCGAACTGATACTTTGCTATCACTTGTAAGCCAGTCTGTTATCCTAGCTGAATCGAGACAAAGTCAAAGTTGATAAGTCATAGATACCACACGACGAGTCCTCTTGTGATAAAAAGAAATAAAGATAATAGGACGATTTATCTGTTGCCTAACACACGTAGAAGGCTGTAAATACGATGGTTGAATCTGCCGTGGATCAGGAAGTACAGATTAGTATCCTATACTGTTTTGTTCGCCAAAAGGTCAATTTAAGTGTTGAAGGAAGATGAACGCTGGGCTGTTAATAAACAGTAGATATGTCGAAGACACAAGCATCTGATTCCATTTCCATTTAAGAAATTATTGAGTACCTAATCAGTTGAATGAGATTAGACCAGAAAATGGATCAATCGAACGATTGTAATAGCGCATTCCTATTAGGCGTCACTTTGCATTCAATGAAAAACTCGCTGCGTCTTGTGGAAGTTTAACGCGTATTTATTACAGACGTCGGACAGCTAATAGAAAAGTTGCGGCTTTCAACTTATTATACCTACAATGTAACGAGATGGTCGGCTTGTTTAGCACCACTGGTCGACAGTTTCTCAATTTAATCGTCTTTTGTTTCCTTTGCTTTATCACCTGCAAATTGTGGAATAAGAAATTAAATTGCCGCATCGTCGACGACGCCTATTAAGTCCGGGATAAAATAATGCCGAATAAATAAACGCGCACGTTATAAACAATAGGACCGCTATTTCTGCACCACTGTATTTGTTTGCAGCATCAGGTGTACTAGTACCTATATATCCTATTTAAAGGACTAAAAATAAAGATATACAACCAGTCTAAACAGAATCGAGTTTACACACCGACAATTTTACTACTCCTTTCAGTGATTTTGGATTAATGATATGCAGAATTATAAAATTGCTTGTAATCATTTTTTGTCGTATTTTAAACAACATATGTTTAAGATTTTTTAATTAAGCAAAAAAAGTATGTATCTGATACAGAGACTCAATGTTAAGACAAGACATTGTTTCTTGGCGAATAATTACTTCATAGAACAGAATCATAGCAAAAAGTCACTATGGAAACAGTTTGACAAGTACAAGATATTTGAAGGTATACTTTAAATATTCTTGGAAACCGCGATTTTTAATTAAAAAACGATACGTGTGTAAAGAATGATGTCAGTTTATGCTCATAATTAATTACATCTAGCAAGGAGAACCTAGAGATAGCTTCAAATAAAATGGAAGCGGTACTGACAGATCAGTACTGTATGAAAATAAATAAAAGTAAAACTAAAATACTGATATGCAAGGGAAGAAAAGTAGGGAAAGAGCGAATATAAGGAGAGGAGACGAAAAATTAGAAGAAGTGGCTGATTTTAGATATTTAGGAAGTCAGATAAGTCTGGACAGAAGGAGTAGGAGGGATATAAAGTAGAGGATAGCCCAGGGTCGTGTCGCTTTTAATAAAAAGAAGTTACTTCTATGCTAGCGAAATTCGAAAAAGGTTGCTAAAAAAAGAGGTATTAGAAAGAATAAGAGAACAGAAGACTCTATGCAAGTCAATAAGAATTAGGCGAGATAGGTTGGTAGGACACCTTCTCGGGCATGAAGGTCTAGTCAGAGACATATTAGAAGCAGAAATTGTAGTTAGGAGGGGTAGAGGTAGACCTAGGTTAGATTAGTTATTCTAGTTTTAGGGAAATGCGAAGATTAGCTCAGGATAGGAAAGAGTGGAGGTACGTATCCAACCAGTCTTAGGACTGACGACCCTATGATGATGATGATGATGATAATAATACAAATTAAAAAATATATACGTACCTGTTCATAACACTTACCTTATAAACCAATATGTGTATTTTCTTCGCTCTAATAACAGACTTTTTGAAATTCGGGTTTAAAAAATGATAAACGTATACAAAATGTATTAATTTATTTATTGTACAGTTGACCTAGTCACAAAAATAAACGTGAACATATCTCTTTTTACAATATTACATTCAACATTCCATTCAATGAAACTTAAACATACCTACACTATCAACGAATTAAGAAATTTTTGTAACATAAAAACTATCTACTAGAAAATCAAAAAAACAAAATTGTAGGGTTAAAAGTGGTACAGTGCGAAACATCGGCAATTTCATTATTACTTATTACAAAAAATTATTCCGAAGCACCTGACCGATTTCTTAGACCATTTCACTGACGATGAGTTGGAGGTATTGCCGCAACCTGACCGCCTAGTGCTGCACTAGCTTTCAGTCACGAGTCCGGGGTACATAATTTTAAAGTTAGTAGGGGTACCTATAATAATTTTATTTTGTTGACGTAATTACAATTTTTTCTTTGGAAGTTAACCGCAAAAACGCATTGTCTACTAAAGCAGTAACTGGATTCATTTTACGCGAATGTAATATTAAGGGATGAATGAAACAAAGATCTGTCTCACAAACGATGAATTCTTTAGCCACCACTGTACCTTTTTTAACCCACATTACATATAAATACCACCTTCAATACACGATCTCTGACTGTCCTCTTAACTCTAACGAAAATTTTACATTACGTAATTCCGGACTAGGTTGACATAACTTTGGTATAATATCAGAAAAGAAGATATATAAGTATATTTTTTAATATATATGTATACCTTCTAAAACACTTATCTACTTCTTATTAGAATATTAAAAGAAACAGTTGTGCTGAGTAAGATCAACGGTTACATTTAATTTGATTCAGAGAAATAACTTAAAAAGATATCTATTCAGATGGAATACATTACTTTCGTAACAATCACAGCAAATTAATACTTTAATGCAACAGCCAAATGATGATTGGGTTTTCTTGGAAAAAAATTTCGACAATATCAATTAAACGTAAAGTAAATTTAAACTTAAAAGAATTACCTATTATTGTTAACAACTGTATATTCCTAACTTAGTCGAATGTAACAGGTTTAAAATAAATAGTGATTATGTCCTGTTTTTTTTTGTGGTAAATATTTAAGTTACAACTAAGTTTTTTTTGAGTAAAGTCCAGTTATAACGATTAATAAAATACAACTTTGCTAAGATAATACGTAAAAAATTTATAAAATAAATTGAACCATATTATATTGTTGTGTCCTGTCGACGTTTTGTCGCTTGAATATTCAGGACTTTCCCGACATCCTTTAAGGATTTGATAGAGGGCTTGCTCTTTTAAGTCCTTCAAAGTATCTACATAATTCCAACAGCTTTTTGCAATTAGTGACAATACATCATCAGTACAAGCACAAAAAACCTACTCCTAAGACTTAGTAACATAACAAGGGTCCTGACAGCCTTAGTAAAAGAGTAGCTTTATATCCTTTTTTAAAAATGTTTAGTCACCTAAATAAATAAAATCAGCATACGACCCATTTAACAAAAACTATTTTAAAGATCACACATACGAAAAAAATAGAACACACTTAAACATTTTTGTTGATTCTTTCTATAAGTAGACAAAAAAATACATTATACTTACTAGTAACACGGACAACTACAGGATATATAAAGATTTAGGAAAATCGTTGGTGTTTATAACAATTTTGCTGTTATTGTTGTTGCTTATTCGGCACAACTTAAATCACAATATTATTCATAGGTATAAGAAACATGGTCCACAGTTACTAAACGATTCAAACGAATAAAAATAAAGCGATTTTTTTAAACACTACCGCTTACAATTAAGTGAATTTAAAAGTTACATTTTATTACCTTTTTAATATATATACCGACTTATCTAATTATAATATTAAACATACCTACACATATCTCACAGAAAAAAGAAAATACATTTCGGGGCCCTGTAAGCTAGACTGGCAGGAAGCAGAGCCTGCACGTGGTGACTATGCGTATTAATAACATAATTGGGAATACAGTCAAAGCTGCTATTATTATGCAGGTCATAAACTACGACAATTTTCAGTTGTTCTAAAAAGTTCCAACTAGAAACAGTGGCAATTCTCAACCAATACTAAAGAAATGGAAAAAATATTGAGAATTCTATCTGTTTTTGTCATCGCTGTGTTTTTTTTATTTATTTCATACAATTAATGATCTTTAGACCAGCACGACAAGACCGGATTTGACTGTAGTAGCGATTTATAAAATACCACAAATGGCGCGGTAAACACCATCTGTAGTACAATGCTACGTTTTAGGATTACGTAATAATGTAGCATTGTACTACAGATGGCGTTTACCGCGCCATTTGTGGTATTTTATAAAACGCGCTGTTAAGACAGCAGGTAAAAATTGGTCTGTGTTCTGTCGAAGCTGTCTGCGACGCCCTGATGTGATCCGAAAAGATCGAAATCGCGATCCGCGTCTGACAGTTTCGACAGAATACAGACCACTTCGAATTATTTTATTAGTATCGATTTGACTACTGTCTACTTACTTTTCATTTACAAATAAAGAAAGCATTTCGCGAGATTCTTTTGTTCTTTAAATCTGATAGCATTCCACTTACCTACTAGAGCTACGGTACTTGAAAGTAATTAAAGTAACAGCCTAACTGTACTTTGTACTAAAGTATAAAAAATTAATTTTTGTTTAAGTGTTATCAAAACAAATTTCTATTCGGAATCTTCAATATATAGAATTAGTAACACCTATATGTATATCAGGCTCATATTATGGGACCGATGCTAGAAAAATTTTTAAACTGGAGATGAAATCTGAAGCAATTTATTTATTTGTTGCTAAAGACACGTCATTCAACTTTCCGATTTTCCAAACATTAAAAATTTTAATGCACATATTTGTCAATTTTATTGTTCTCAATGTTAATGTCCATGTTAAAAATATATAAAAAAAGTAAATATTTATGTATGATGGTCAAAGTTTGTTTACGATCAATAAAATTTAGATTTTTGGTTGGTTTCGAAAAGTTGTATGACATTCTTCTCGGGAAGGTTTACCTACTGCTACGAATACTTATGTAGGTTTAATTAGGGCGCCTAACAACAGACACTACGATTGTGATGGGACTAGGGTACATCAGGAGATACCATGGACAATTTAGCAGAGTTGTTGTCCGTCATGGAACGATTTTCTATCGCTAACGAATGGTTGTCAATGTTACCGTCTTCATGTTCGCTCTCTTCTAGGAGAGGAACACCTGGAAAGCAATAGCATATTCGATAATGCAAGATTATGAATGAATCTCCTCACATAAAGACAACAACAAAAACTTTACTTGAATTTAGGTAATACTAATTCACTAGTTGCACTACGAGGGTGGATTGATAAGTTTCCGGCCTGACCAAGAAAAACAAGGTTTTTAAAAATTTTTTTTTTTTATTTCTCAACATAATCTCCAAGGCGGCTGATACATTTCTCATAGCGGTGTTCCAGTCTATTAATGCCATCTCTATAGACTGATTCGTCAAGCTCCTCAAAATAACCATTTACAGCTTCGATTACTTCTTCATTGTCCGCAAATCTCTTACCGCCAAGCCATTTTTTGAGATTAGGGAACAGAAAATAGTCACTCGGGGCTAGGTCTGGAGAGTAAGGAGGGTGCGGCATCAATTCAAACTTTAGATCGTTGATTTTAGCCGTCGCAACGATTGACGTGTGCGCTGGTGCGTTATCGTGATGAAACAAGATTTTTTTCTTCGCCAGATGAGGTCGTTTAATTTTCACCTCGTGGCTCAAACGTTGCAATAAGTCTGCGTAGTATTGACCAGTGATAGTATTACCCTTTGCAAGGTAATCAATGTATATAATACCTCTTGCATCCCAAAAAACAGTAGCCATAACCTTGTTCGCCGAAAAAATTGTTTTTGCCTTCTTTGGAGTTGGTTCCCCTGGTCCAATCCACTGTTTAGACTGTTCTTTGGTTTCAGGAGTGTAGTGGTGGACCCACGTTTCGTCAACGGTTACGAATCGACGCAAAAATTCGCTTGGATTACGCTTATACAATGACAAATTTGCGGTAGAAATGTTTTTTCGAATCAATTTTTGGTCGACTGTTAGCAAACGCGGCACCCATCTTGCACAGAGCTTTTCCATATGCAAATGTTGGTGCAAAATATGTTGCACACGTTCATATGACATCTTACAGGTCTCAGCTATCTCACGCACTTTCAATCTGCGGTCTCCCAGCACTATTTGATGAATTTTTTCGATCATATCTGGAGTTGTGACCTCAACGGGGCGTCCTGAGCGAGGCCCATCAGAGGTGCTCACACGACCCTTTTTAAACTCGGAAACCCACTGCTTAACGGTTGAATATGACGGGGAGGATGTCCCCAGTGTTGAGTCCATCTCTTTTTTAATTTCCTTCGGCGTTAACCCCTTCAAATAAAAGTATTTGATGACAGCACGATTTTCCTGCTTTTCCATTTTTACGAAAACCACAGAGGCGTCTTGTTCAGCGTGCTGTCAAACCTACACTAGCAAGGAGATCGGGCTGAAACTATAGCTACAAGCTATCCAAGGATGGTACTATAGAATGTCACCTCAAGGTAGGCCTAGTGGCGTCATCTCTTGGTTAGGCCGGAAACTTATCAATCCACCCTCGTACCTTTCAGATTTTATAACATAGAAAACCTAACCCTGAAAATGCCTCATAATTGAGGCGAAACGTAGACTGTTGGTCTCGTATAAATAAAAACCTTTGTCCAATACATAGCTTATTGAATTCAAATATAACAAAATCCAATACAATAGACAAGTACATATGCAAAAGTTGCCTTGTTTAGATTAGGTAAATAATGATTTGATATTAGGTTGAAATCTAAACCATTTTTTGAAACCACGATCGTGAATTTAGATGTACCAGAATATCCTATTATTATTATTACGTACACCTTAACTTAGTGTTTTCCAAAAATTATCAACTTGATGAAATTAATTTGATCACAAACCCTACAATAACTAGACCACAACCGAAAAAAATTATATGAACATTTATGTTACATTATGATTGGGCAAATAAGGGTAAGTTTCGGAAATTATCATTAATATTTTTCCACATAAATACGTATTACATGTCAGTGTAAATTCTTGGTGAAATGAAGCGGGTGCGATGCAAATGCTTATTCACCTATTTTTTGAAAATTCGTCCCTAATACAAGTTTATTTATTTTCATTATTTTCTACACAATAGGGTTGTTGCAAATAAGAATAGCAAACGAGAAAAGCAATGCCATAGAATTAGACCTTAAAAACAGTCGATACCTAAAACCTAAAATTTCTTACCTTCAGTATTGTGGACCGAGCTGGTATCAAAGGATGCTAGACTACCGCAGTGAGCTCGACATGAGGCAGTTTGGGAACCACTGTGCGAAGATACTGTGTCCAATGTTATGGCGGTCGAGCCCTCCGAAACAACCATGGTGTCCGTCGATCCCATAGGATCGCCTCCTGATCTTGTGCTGGCAGAATGGGATGCACTGAAAAGAAGAATGAAAATGTAATTAACGAATTTAAATAATTTTTTACCAAATTTCGGATCAGTCATATTGTAGAAATGACATCAAAAATCAATCAGGAGTAGGTGAGGGGGTGGTTTAGGGAAGGGGACAATATAATAATTTAATATTTTGGGGGTAGGGGGATATCAGGAAGGAAACATGAAGGAAGAAGGTTTTGGAAATAGGGATCAAAAGTAAGTACGATAGAGAGAGGGCTTTGAAGAGATCAAAAATCAATCAGGAGTAGATGAGGGGGTGGTTTAGGGAAGTGGACCATATAGGGGAATTGACGAGGAGCAGATACAGGGAGATAATAAAGAGGGAGAATTAAAAAAAAAAAATGGAGAACTTCAGATATGTGGTGGGGCTGAGAGAGACGTGGAAGGACTAACAAGATTGAGTGTCAAAGTATTTGGAAGTAGCCAGCAAAATTTAAGGGAAGAAATGAGTGTAGGAGATGTAAAATTTGGAAAAAGGAAGAGGACAGACAGCGAAGACAGGTGTTAGGAGGGGATGCGAAGATAGTACAACTCGGGAAGAATGCTATGAAATGGTGAATGACGATGGACGTGGACTGAGACGACTGAAAAACAATTTAAGGAACAGGGGTCGTTTTGTGTTTTTAGGACAGTCAAAAGTGTCAAGCAAAGGACAGAGACGAAATTAAGACGTAGTCAGAGGGTTATTGCACAGAAGATGGTACAGCATTAAAGCAACTTGTAAATACCGCCGTTAACACACCCTTCACCTATTATTTATTGATGTGAAGGTAAGTGCTAACAATTTTACAGCAACTTTGAAACATCCTGCAATTTGTGAACGATTTTAATTGCGCTACCGCCGCGAAAGAGAATTAATTCATTCCCATCACACGCACCAAAATTATAGCTCGCGGAATAATTTCAACTCGTTGTAGCATAACTTATTGACACGTCTCATAACACTTTGCTTGAGCAACACGTACGCTAGGTATACAAGGTATATTACATGTACATGATGAAAATGACTTGTCTATCTATCTGGCCGTTACGGGCAACTAATATTCAAATGAAACTGATATCACACTAATGCCATTTAACGCTAACATTATTTCGACTTTTTATCCGTTACTCACGTAGAATTTTTTTTTATCTTTCATCATTTCCGCTTGAGCGGACATTGAGACGCCCTTCCAGCCCCGTCTCATTACATTAGCCTAGAGCGTGGTTTAATAACAATAATTTTCAAGGCGTTTTTCACACCTTTCGATACCGAACTGACAAGTTCGCATCGAAACTTGTTATGGGTCGGTAACAACGACGCTAACGCTTTAAAGGCAATTAATTAAAACATATACGTATATATAAGTATTCTGCACAGAAGCAACTTTAAGACAACATTTATCAACTGCACAAACAACACACTCTGCTATTATAGGTAGCGCAATTTTTCCTACATTGTCATAACACCTGAACTAAAGATTAACAGTAATAATACTCCATTATGTTACCATTAGAGCCTAATTGACCTATAAGAAATCTACAATCTACTTTCTAAAAAGGAATCAATAGATTTTCACTAATGTCAAGTGAAAAGTTACTTATTAACAGTTATAACACTATTGAAAATTAGTGAATAATAGTGAATTGAAAAGAGTAATTGAATCAGTGAAATTAATAACGTAAATTAAAAAAAAAGCATAAAATCTCACCAAAATGGAACCCAGTCATGCAGTAGATAAATGTATAATACCTAATTGCAGTTTCAACTTTAAATATCCACCACTACCGGACTAGAATTTTGAGGGGGGTATAGGTACGGTCCCTATAAGTTGGTAGCTAAACTACCTCTTGTGAGTCCCCTAGGGCAGGAATGGCGAACCAATGGCACGCGTGCCATTAGTGGCACGCGACACAATATTTTGGGCACGTCACTAATATTTCTGTCATTGATTCTTTAATCAAGGAATTTTCAGCGAAATTTTCTCACTTCAGAGAATTATCGGAAATACTAATACGAAAGTTTATTATGTACCCTGATGTGACATTTGATAAAATAAATTGAAGAATCTGAAATGCAGCTGATGGATTTCCAGTCTAGTTCAATATGATTCAAAAAGTTGTTTGAACAAGGAAAGAGTTACAAATAATTGAAACAGAAATATCGACGGGTAATACAAGTGAAAATGCTAATAACAAAATTTTGGAAACATGGAATGCGATAACAAACACATTTAATTTTTTGAAAAGGCTGGCATATGATATTTTAATAATGTTGTCATCAACCTATGCCTGCGAGTCATTATTTTCAGATATTAATAACATAAGAAACTCGCAGTTACAAACCGTTTGGTAGATGACTCCAGTTCAGCATGCATTCTGCTAAAATTAACATCTAATCAACAACAACCCTAACATAAGTTATTTGTCATCTAGTCTGCAAAAACAGAAGTCACATTAATTATACTTTAATTTAAATTACACGTATAATTTAAACATTGCAAAATGTTTCTATTTTCTTGTAGAATTTTGAGTTGATATTATTTATTATCATTATTTTCCTAATAATCACACAGACAAAATTATTTGATGGCACGTCTATGACCTGATTTAACTTTTCTTTATAAAAATGGCACGACGGTACTTAAAGGTTCGCCATCCCTGCCCTAGGGCAAGGAAGGGGCATATAACGCCTTGCCACATTTGCCCATTATCAGAAATGTCGCATTTTCCCCCGCAGGGAAAAATTATTGCTACCACATTAAATATTTTTGGAAAAATGAACTTTATTATTAATGAAAAGATACAATATATACATATGTCACTTATTTGTCAAATTTGTTTGCTCTTAAGTAAGATTGTGTTATTGGGCTGTTTTGTAGCCAATAATAATTTAAATTGCAATCGTGTCTAGTTTCAGCTGTCTTACAATAACAATATCAGGAAGTACGCTTGTCGGTTCGTTGCAAATCTAAAAGATTTCATTGAAACGACGACATAATTGGGTTAAGCGATTATTATAAGTTTTTTCATTTTACCGAGAGTATTTTCGAAAGGATTTGTCTCATCGAGTCCCCATAAGGTAGATTTAATTGTAAGTTTATAGATGTGTTAGGTTTGCCCCTTAAGACCCATATGAAAAACCCATAATGGCAATGCTCATTTTAGTTTCACCACTTTTTTGTTGGGATTTTCATGAGAAATCTACAGGGAAATTCCTATATCGGCATGGCCCCATTAGACACATGAGGCCCGCACGCTACATTGGGCATGCCCTCTATAAATTCTAGTCGGGTAATTACAATTATTAGCTTTAATGTTTTTCATTCCGTACATACAATGTAAAATAGGGAAAAATGTTGAAACGTTGTTATTGACATTCCTAATTTAAAGTCCATTTCCCCGATAACGTCATTCTATCAGTTTTATCTCAAATATAACGATATAAGTTTAGGAACGAGGGTTGATCTTTGCATATCATCGCGTAGTACAGATGTAGCGATACATGTCCACCGCAATATAATAACCTGTGGCCTAGATCACAACAAGGCACGCGATCGACGGCAGCCGCAGTCGCCGACCGTCGATTATCATCACGACAACGACCGATTGTGGCGATCGATCCGATCGATCGAATAATTTCGCTGACTGCGCGCCTCCCGCTCGTCGTAGCGGCCGCAGCTGCGTCCACGACCGATCGTTCCCTCGTCGTATGCGTCGCTCTTCTCACATCTCGTTCGCTATCTTTTTAATAAAAAAGACGATCGCGCACAGATAATACCGTAGAGTTTCTCACAATTACTATGTAAATCGGTTGCGATTATTGAGAAATATCGTTAAATTGATAGATTTATGACGCGAAACTGCCTCGAAACGCATTTAACATGAACTATTTATGAGCGAATTTCACAATACTTGCCGGATGATATGCAAACAAGTCTTCCGCACTTTTTATGTAGGTATACATGTATTAGAATGCAGATACACGCATGCTACGGATGATTGAACCGTGACGATGGGATCGCCAATAATCGATTGGTGTATAAGAATTTGCATTTTGTATATTTTCCCTTATTTCACATCTTTCTTATAAACCAGCTAAAAAGCGCTAAGACATCATTTTAACTGCTTAGGTGTTTTGAACAATAAAAATTACAAACATTTGTCTTTATCAGTATTGTAATGACAATTAAGCATCGCAATTTGTATTTTTCGATTACTAAGCAAGCCATGGAAAAAAAATAAAAAAAAAAACAAAAAAACGAAAAGATAATTTATAATAAAATACAATTTGAGTAGAAATTTCAAAATTTGAATAAATCTACACCAAATGTTATACATAATAATTTCTCTTATTTCCCTATTCATGGTCATTAGCACATTTTAATATCTATAGGTATTTAAATGCAGTCATACACATGCATATTATAAGCGAAATGCAATGAATAAAACAAAACTTCACTTAATTTTCCATTGCATTCATTGGGCAGGAATTAACTACGAGATTTCGGTAAGAAATAAACAACTAATACAAGAAGGACTCACTCCCACTAATTACATTGTGTATTAGTGTATTGAAGGGCCCAATAAATTTTAACAACTAGGTATAATTTTCGTCAATACGTGGAGAAGATTTGAGTTTAAACTTAGATCAGCGAAAGTTGATGCAACCTTTTAGTTACTTTAGTGCAAGAATTAGCGCATAAACATTGCAGGGAATTGCAAAACATATTTTTTATACATAAACATAAAAACGAAAACACTATTTCGTTTTCAAATTGCTATCCACTCCTGCTTTTATTTCCTACTTAATAATCGTAAGAGCGGTTTATTACAAATTCTAATGGGTTTAAATCCGGACAGATCATTATTACCGAGTGTAGTCCATTTCCATAAATTAAAGGATATATTTCAGACGATATTTATTGTCGATAATATATAATCGGATAACAATCTGTATCAGGACATCATTAGCAGCTTCGTAAAAAGATACATTTTGCT